CTACAGAAAGCACTAGAAGGGAAAATTCAACCCAAAGAAGCTAAACACATCCATGAAAAAATCAAACAATAAAATTAAACATTTTAAAGATTTATTTATTATGTATATAGTGTTCTGCTTGTGTATATCCCTTCAGGCCAGAAGAGGGAGCCAGATCTCATTACAGATGGTTGTGAGCCACCATGTGGGTGCTGGGAAATTTAATTTAGGATTGCTGGAAGAACAGCCAGTGCCCTTAACCTCTGAGCCATCTCTCCAGCCCTTAAGTTAAACATTTTAAATGCCATATTCAACAGATCTCTGAGGAACTTGAGGACCATCTATTAAGTATACCTGATTTTAAACAAACTTTGTGTGTTTTTAGTTACTTGCTTTATGCTCAACCTTGAAAACACATACAGGAGGCTCAATAAAGCATGTCCCTGTAAATGAACTACATTTGTGCTTAGCTCGACTACAAACACAGTTCCTGCATGTATTAAAGAATTTGGTTATTTTATAAAGTGAATGAGCATTAACTTGCATGTCTTAATTACCTTCAGTGGTTTACATGTTAATAGCTTCTGTAAGATTATGATTTCACAATTTTATTCCTGTTGAGTTTGAGCTTTAAAAATTTGAGTTGAAAATTTAACTGAAGATCCTTTAGCATCAGAATAAAATATTAAACCATAAGTACAGCCCACAGAGAGACTGGCAACCTCAGTTCCCTGCTCCTTTCATAGTGCACCATTATAGAATGTCTCAGGATTTTGTTGTATGATTCAGTTTATCCAAATAGTTAAAGCTTATCAAAGTTTTCAAGGACAAAGAGGCTAGACATTTATCTTTAAGTCAGTTACTGTTAATCTGAGTACACCTTAGGAATTTACAAACCTTATTTATTAAATATATATTGTTTTTATTTACTTTCTTAGAAGCCTGGTATTGAATACAGTTAGCAAAATCATAAATAGACATACATCTCTAAGTCAGTTTTTGTTAAACAGAGTATACTTTTATAACCTTACAAATTTTTAAACCTTTATTTATTAAGCACATTTTATTTATCAAACTCCATCCTAATCCAGGTATTTTTGGAGACCTGCTATTGCCCCCCCTAGTCTAAAAAGTAGACACGATGAGAAGCAGAAGGCTGAGTAAGACTAAGAAGTTTGGTAGATGCTGCCTTAATTGCTTTATTCCACGTGGCCAACTTAATCAAGATGGGGTGAAGTTACATGGCACGCACCTTTAACCTGTGTAAAGATGCCTGCCAGCCACAGGGTTGCTCTCGTCCTGATGAAGTCATCAACTGAGATGGAGGTGAACCACGTGGTGTGGTTGCTATTTTAAAACATCCATTTTTTCTAAATAAGAACTGAATCCAAGTTACATATGCAGTAAGTAGATCTATTTTTTAAAAAAAAAGAGTTGAATTCAAGTAATATATACATGTATATAGTATGATATGTAACAGATTGAAATTACCTATGTATAGATTTTAACTATAAGCCTTTCGTTATGAGTTTTAAGCTAATTTGTTGTTGTTGTTTTGTTTTGCTTTTTTGAGACAGGGTTTCCCTGTGCAACGGAACTCCTTCTGTAGACCAGGCTGGCCTCGAACTCACAGAGATCTGCCTGCCTCTGCCTCACGAGTGCTGGGATTAAAGGTGTGCACCACCACCGCCTGGTTTAAGCTAAATTTTTGTCACAGATTTTTAACTATTCTGAATGAACTTACAAATCCTGACACAGATTACTGTTATGAATTATTGCACGGGGAAGCCCCAAGGGTGTCCCATCGCTGGGCAGATGCAGGAAAACATGCTGGGCAGATGCAGGAAAACATGCTGGGCAGATGCAGCGGCGGGCTGGGCAAGGTGCGGTGCGGTGGTGGCGGCCAGGCGCTGAATCCACATGGAGAGTTCATTATTAACAGAGAGATGAAGAGAAAGATAGGAAAGAGAGAGACAGATAAAGAGAGGTCGAGGGTACACACCTCGTGGGAGGAGAGAGAGGAAGGGGAGGAGTTTTTCCTTAGAACGAGGCTTTTACGTCAGGAGGCAGGGCCGAGGGGTGGGATTTCAAGGGGTGGACCAGAATATTAACTGTTACTACATAGTGTAAAGAGATGTTTTTTTCCTTCAAGATCAGAGTCAAAGAAATAGTGAAGATAAAAGATTTTTTAGAGTGGAAAGTAGAAAAACCGTGGAGATTAGAGACTTTTGGAAGTTCAGAGCAGAGAAAGTTGAGACATAAGAGATTTTGGAATCACTCGTGTGTGCGGTGGCGGAAGTTGTAACATATGAGAGAGTTTGGGGGAGCTGTACCGAAGCCAGGCCATTTGCAGTAAGACAGCAAGGCTTTAATTAAGTCTCCGAGTCTGAGGAGGAAGCCAGAAGGGGTCACATAAGGCCCAGGAGGGCGTGAGGAAGCAGTGGGATTTCCAGGAGGCAGCAGAGACACAAAGGGACGGGGTCACAGATAAGAGCTCTGCCTGAGGGAGGGTTCCAGTATCAAAGAGACCCGGGAGGGGGTGAGGAAGCTGTAGGACTTCACAGGCTGCTGCCTGGGGAGGTGAGGAAACTCCTGGAGGGAGCTGAGAGCGGAAAGGCAAGGAGGGTGGGAGAGAAGGGGTGAATATCCTGGTGACAAGAATTTCAATTTGGGACATCCCCAAGAGACTGAGAGAAATGTCCCAAATCACAGAGTATAGCCGTCCCTTTACACACGACAGGTGCCCAGTGGGGCAAAAGGAGCTTCTGGCTCACCCGTGGGGCTTTTGTAGCAAAGCAGGCAGTTCCGGGGTAACACTCGCCCAGTAGAGGAGGAGGAACCAGTGGCTACTGCAGGTAGAGGAGAAAACAGCTGAAGAGGTGACAGAGAGGCTTCTGGGAAAAGGGAGGATTCCAATAGAGGGGGAGGAGTAAAGTGTCTCAGCAGAGAGATGCCACGTGGAGGGCATAGCAGACCAGAGAGAAGGAGAGATGCCCAGGTGACAGGTGCCCCAGGAGGGTGTGCCAGGCTCCAGGAGCCAGAGAGACACTTACCCAGTGGACCAGGAGCGATGAATAGTTAGAGCAGGTGGAGGGAAGAAATGGCCAAAGAGACAGACTCTAGAATTTGGAGTCAGACTTGGTGGGTGGCAGAAACAAATGAGCCGCACATGCCTTAGCAGAGTCAAATCTGTGGTTCAGAGTCCCTTGGAAGGGGCTCAGATATACCTGTCCTGGTTTTAGGACCAGATGGGTGAAAGTGAGGAGAAGGTTTTTACTGTAGCTATGAGAGAGAATTCAGCCAGAGACATCTGGAAGAGTCCAGAGCAAAGAGAGACAGTAGTGAATTGAACATGGCCAGCAGGAAAGATGAGGCCATGAGAGGTTTGTGGGGAGGAGCAAGAGAAGAAGAGGAGAGAGAGGGGACCAGAAGCCAAGAGTAGAGGACAGACAGAGGAGAATAACCAAGAGATCATGTGGCCGAAATGGCAGGGTTATTCAGGAAAGAGAAGCTGGGGGAGAGCAGGAAAGCCCCTGGACTGGGGAGGTTTAGGGGAGGGGCAGGGTGAGAAGTACTGAGAGAAGCCACGGGCACACATGTGCTTTGGTGTGCTAATAGACACCACAGTTAGCCATTTGTCCGGGCTTTCTTTGGGACCTGACAACTCCCAAGTGCTGGAATTAAAGGTGTGCACCCAACATGACTGTCTATTTGGTGTGTGTGTGTGTGTGTGTGTGTGTGTGTGTGTGTGTGTGTGTGTGTGTGTCTGTGTATGTCTGTGGGTGTGAATGCCACCTGTGTGCAGGTACCTAAGGAGGCTGGAAGAGGGCATCAGGCCCCCTAGAGCTACAGTTACAAGCAGTCCTGACCTGCCTGCTATGGTGCTGGGAAGAGAACTCTGCTTCTCTCAAAGTGGCAAGTGCTCTTCCAAGCCCATCCACCGGCTTCTTTGTACAGATTGTCTATGACCATGTAGAAAGTCACCCCAGAATAGTCATGTAAAACAATACTTTATTCCTTCTCATGGCTCCGTGGGCTTCCTGAGATCAATCAGAGGCCCTTGCTTGGCACATGCAATGCGACATCAGTTATACGCTAGCTGGGACTGTAGCTGACAGAAGGCTCCACCGAGTCAGACATCACAGAAGGCTTGCTGAGCCACGGCAGTCCATGCTGAATGGGAGTCAAAGGCGCAACGGGCCAAAAGTGAACATTCCAAGAGACAGGAGAGGAAGGTGCCCAGCCAGCAGAAAGGTCTGAAGGAGCTTCCGCCCTTCCATTGGTCAGAGCAGTCACAGAGCCTTCCCCGATTCAAGAGAAAGAGAAATGGACTTTATCTGTTTATTTTCAATTGAGATGGGGTCACATGTAGCCCAGGCTGGCCTTAAATTCCTGGTCCTCCTGCCTCCGCCTCCCCAGATGCTGGGATGACAGGCAAGGGCCACTATACCAGGCTTTCTTTATGCATGCTAGGTGAGTGCTCTGAGGCCGAGCTACACCCTACCTCTAAGCATTGTTAAGCTGAAAACAGCAGGGACTGTTCCTGCCAATTACAGTAAAGGTAAAAGCAAAGATGGCCATTGCTGCTTGTTTTGTGGTCCTGGAGATCAGACCTGGGGCCTCAGACACACGAGGCCAGCGCTGTCCCCAAGCGCCAACTCTTTCCATTCAAGGAAAGAGAGAGAGAGAAAGCCAGCATTTGTAGATTATGGCCTTGAATTTTTGTTTTGTGTTGAGATAGGTTTTCATGCTATATCCCAGGTTGACCTTGAATTCATTATGCAGTCCAGGCTGGCCTCAAATGCTTGGAGATCAGTTCCACTCAATCTCCAGAGAGCTAGGATTAAAGGCATTTGTTATCATGTCTGGCCTGGGCTTGAAATTTTGTAAATACTACCCCCAAATGGACAAATGTCTTTAAACAAAAGGACTCAGAACCAATTATTCAGATCTATGCCTCTGGCTAGAGGAGCCCTGGAGGAGTGAAAGGTACTCCTGAGGGCTTGTCAGGATGGAGGAGGGCCTGAGGACCAAGGGCCTTATCCAAGAGGTCAGGAAGGCATCTGGGTTAGTACTCCACCTTACCATGATGCAGGAAGGTCACCTCCTATCGTATCTCGACTAACCTGACTCACCTCTGATGCAAGAGAGATAATAGCACACCGTGGCCTGGGATGGGAGACAGGAATGTGGAAGCGCAGGAGAAGGAAGATACTCCCTAGACCCCTTCTAAACGCAGAGGAGGACACTGGTGGGGCGGAGG